GGAAAAATAGAATTAAAAGATAGTATGAATCTTCCCGTGAACTTTTGGAGTTCATTTAAATTTCAATGCATGTTATATCCTTGCTAACTTTCTGACTCCCAATGCTATAGGCATTTTGGCCAGCAAAGCATTTTATATGTTCCCGCAGATGGCCACCTATGGAGCCTGGTTTTCAAGAACATGTCTGTTGAACCTCACAGGAGTCATAATTACAGAATTCCTGTCCCATCATTTCCATTTTTCCATTTTAACAAATACAGTACATTTTTGCACCTGTTTTAAAGATTTTTTTCTCCCAAGAAAACCACACAGTAAAAGTATAAAAAAGGGCAAAAGAGCTCATAATCTAAATACCTTTAGTTGACTCTTTTTTTTTAAAGTTGGGTCAGCCTCTGGATAGCTTTAGATGGTGGAACGATGTGCTCTCATTTCTGTGTTTAAGGTGCCCTCCCTGGCTTCTGTGTGGAGGGTGGCCTGGGAGTGGGGGGACCTGTGGCAAGTGGTAGGGATTTGTGGAAAGTGCTTACAGGGTCTCCATGGGAGGTGATGGGCAGGATAGTGTTAGCTAGTTTTTTTTTTTTTTTTTTTTTTTTTTCATTATTGCCCCCTAAAGGATCCATTTTAGACATTTTATTCCTAATTGTCTTTCCATGAAATTTATTTATTTTAATTAATTAATTTTTTTAAAAAGATGACTGGTAAGGGGATCTTAACCCTTGACTTGGTGTTGTCAGCACCACGCTCTCCCAAGTGAGCTAACCAGCCATCCTTATATAGGGATCCGAACCCTTGGCCTTGGTGTTGTCAGCACCACAGTCTCCCAAGTGAGCCATGGGCCGGCCTGAAAATTTTTTTTTAATTGAGGTGAAATTCACATAACATAAAACTGACCATTTTTAACAGTTCAGTGGCATTTAGTGCTTTCACACCGTTGACCAACCATCTCCTCCATCTAGTTCTAAAACATTTCCATCATTCCAAAATAAAACCCTGTACTCACTAAGCACTCATTTCCCAACGCCAGACTCCCCACCCGCCCCTGACAGCCACCAGTCTGCATTCTATTTGTATGGACTTACCTATTCTGGATACTTCATTTAAGTGAAATGCAATATGGGGCCTTTAGTGTCTGGCTTCTTTCACTTAGCATGATGTTTATAAAGGTCATCCATGTTGCAGCATGTATCATCAGAGTTTCCTTCCTTTTTACGGCTCAATAACATTCTATTGAGGAGATAACTCAATTTGTCTATCCATTTGTGGACATTCGAGTTGTTTCCACCTCTTGGCTATTGTGAATATTGCTGCTATGAACATTCGTGTCCAAAGATTTGAGTACCTGTTTTCTTTTGGGTATACTTGTATACCTAGGAGTGGACTGCCATGGAATTTAAAAGTATTGTATATCTGTTTGTGTGCTGCATGTATATCTGTGCTTTATATGTAAAGGAGCAGTAAGACTTTTTTTTTTTACCCCCTAAGAACCACTTTTTGCCCCCTCGTGGGGCCATATTGCCACCACTAAGATTGCATGGACTAGGGTGATAGCAGTAGAGTTGAAGATCAGTAGAGAGATTTGGGATGTATTTTGGGAGTGCCTTGCAGAGGCCTTGCTGAAGAGTTGGGCGAGTTGAGGCATGAGCACAGATGAGGAATTGAGACAATCTAGGTGTGTTTGACCTTGAACAACCAGGTTCATAGCTTTAACCAATATAGAGAGGATGAGGCAGTTACATGATGTTTCTCAGATTGGGGAGGTGGGACAGGTGGCATTTGCAGGTGGGCATGGGAGATCTTTTTCTCAGGGAGATGCAGAGGAGAGTTTTGCCGTATGGGATCCTTGGGTTGCTGGGGGACCCCAAGGTGTGTCCCTTTCCTGATTCCATGAAGCTTTGCCTCCCCAGAAACCTGGAAGGGTAGCCCTGCACTTTACTTGCTGGTTGGAGAGTGAACCAGACCCGTCTCCATGGTAAATCATTGTCTTCCTGCCACCCTTATTCTTGTCATATCCAAGTGCTATGTTTAAAAATTTTAAAATATTTAGAACATGTTTCTTAAATGTTAATTCTTAAGTTTATTAACAAAGGAAACCTTATATGTCTAAAATTAAAGGCTTGTCCTAGTTATTTATTTTTTTAGTACACATGAATGTATATACAGAATTATAAAAATAGACTTTACCTCTTTTTTTGCTAAAATCCTTGCAGGACCACAGGTGGGGTGCTGCTCTGCTAGACCACCTGATGGCCTCACCTTTTTACTTAACTTGACCCGTTGAGCAGGAAAATGTGGACTCACTTGATTGCATTCTGTGTGAAGCAGCATTTTTGCATGTTTTCTTTTGTCGTCCCTGCTACCCTTTAGGGTTAAGCCTCCTTGTCAAAGTTCCCTGCAGTCCCGAGCAGTGCTTTTTTTTTTTTTTTTTTCCTTTTTTTTTTTTTTTTGTGACTGGTAACGGGATCACAACCCTCGGTGTCGCGCCCGCACCGCGCTCAACCAGTGAGTGGACCGGTCTCTATATGGGATCCGAACCCTCGGTGGGAGCGCTGCCGCGCAAGCGCCGCACTCTACCGAGTGCGCCACCAGGCCCCCCCCCGCAGTGCTTTTGATAGTATTATAAGGCCCTCCCTGTTTGACCTTGCTAGTTTGCTTAAGAGAATACAATTAGAAAAGCCCTGGTCTCGGGCCAGCCCGTGGCTCACTCGGGAGAGTGTGGTGCTGATAACACCAAGGCCCCGGGTTCGGATCCCATATAGGGATGGCCGGTTCGCTCACTGGCTGAGCGTGGTACTGACAACACCAAGTCAAGGGTTAAGATCCCCTTACCGGTCATCTTTTTTTTTTTTTAAAAAAAAGAAAAGCCCTGGTCTTTTAATCTTCAAGGGGAATACATTACACGGATCTTTTGACCTACTGCAAATCTCTTTTGGAATTAGGTAGAACATAAATAAACGAATTATTTAAACAAATCTTAATACTAAAGATTTTATTGGTAATATTTATTTTAAAATTCCTTTCTTTTTGTTTCTTTGTGTAAGGAGCACTTGTTATAATACCAGTGTTAGTAATGTTAATAATAATTATAGCTACCACTTGAAGGAATGTTACATGCCAGGTGCTGGGCCAAGCATTCTGTTAATCCTTACAGTAAAACCAATTTAATTTATTATTTTAAAAACTCGATTCTTAAAATAATTTCTAATGTTTATTGAGCACTTGCTAAGCGCCAATCGACATGGATGAGCTAATCTAATCCTAACCTCTCTCCCCATTTCCAGATGAGGAAAAGGATTTCCTATGTGGCTTTCTTAACTTCAGCACCATTGACATTTGGGGCCACATAATTCTTTGCTGTGGGGGGCTGTCCTGAGCATCATAGCATATTTAGCAGCTTCCCTGGTCTCTACCTACTAGAAGCCAGTAGCAACCCCACTCCCCTGCTTGTGGTCAGAATTGTCTGCACACATTGCCCAGTGCACCCTGGAGGGCAGAAACACTCCTGGCTGAGAACCACTGGTTCAGATGATGAACCCAGAGCCCTGAAGGTTAACGAGGAAATAGAAAATACTACTACTGCACTAATAGCGGGCATTAATATAGCACTTGCTAGATGCTAGGCACCGTTCAGATGATTGATTGATTGATCACAACAACCTAATGAGGTGTAGGTGCTCTTAACCATCCCTTGTATTATATTACTAATGTTCCTCCTCCCGCTGCCAGGAAGGGAGATGCAGAGGTGCCAGTACCTTGCCCACGGCTACATAGCACGTCAGTAGCTGAGCCGGGATTTGAACCCCCAGCGCCTGGCTCCCTGTCCATGCTTGAATTTGGCCTCTGGAGGTCTGGAGTTTTTCCCACTCTGTTACATTAAAAATAACATTGGCGGGTCCTGGCACTGGTGCTAAGACCAGCCCATGCGTGTGGGCTGGCTGAGCTGGTATACAGGCTTAACCTCTGAGTTCTCATTCTGAGCATCCCCGTTTAGCAGGTGAGGAGACCGAGGCAAGCACCCACCCAAGTGTCCTAGCACTTTTGAGGTCCCTGGGGACGTCTTGATTCCTAATGCCTTTGCCATCAACGTATTTCTCTCGAGGACCAGATTGCCCTAGAATCGATGTTACTTGCTCATCTGAGGAGAGTTGGCCCTTTTGTTGTCTCTCCTGCGTTTAGCCCCAGCTGTTTTTAAATGGGCCTGTTAGGCATTGGCAGACAGTGTCAGTAATGTGGAGGGGTGAGGGCAGAGGGGCAGGATCAGAAGGGTCTTCAGGAGGCCCTCGGTGGCCCCTCTGAATGCTTGTTTTGTTAAAATAAATGGTTTCATTTCCCATTCTCCCTTCTCCCATCCAGGGAAGTGAGGCTGAGAAGCCGGTAGTTTTAAGGTATTTGTAAAAGCCTCAGGCACAGGGACAATTCTCCGTCCTCCCATAAAACTCCGAAACAATAAGGAGGGAGATAGTTCACAAGCAACTCCCTCTCTCCATCTACTGAGTTTGTCTTCGTTCAGCCCTGAGAACCTTTGCAGTGGGAGCTAGAGAGTTCCGGAGAGGTGGCACTCATCACCAGTAGGTGCGGTGGCTGCATGTGAGCTGGCTGCTGTGGCTTCCAACAAATGGTGACGTGCCATTTCTAAGTCTGGCATCCAGTCTCTGCATCTGGACTGTGGGGCTCTGGTTTAATGGCTACTTATTTTGAGATTTATTCCCATGAATGGACCAAACCAGTTTCAGTGGCAGCTTAGCCGATTCATCTTAGAGCTTTGTGTTTAATAGAATAACTGGGGAGGGCTTCGTCCTTTGTGGCTTTCATAGTCTCATGTCACGTTAAAGCCCTTTGCTTAAAATAAATGGCCAGACTCACCTCACCCATGATTCCATGCTGCCCTTGTTGAAATCAAATACCATTTCATAATTTCTTTACTCTCTCCCTACCCCAAACTTATAAGTTTTACTTGTTTTTTTCTTGTTAATCTGTCTTTTAACAATGATGTACTTTTCCAGCTTCACCAGCCTCCACAAAGACGGGACAAGCAGGGAGTTTATCTGGCAGCCCGAAAACTTTCTCTCCTCAAGCGTCAGCACCTATCACTACGAAAATGGACAAGACATCCACCACTGGAAGCATCCTGAATCTTAACCTGGGTCAGTTGGAAGTATCTTTCTGTGTGGCAACTGTAGTTATTTTTGCAAGTTCTGATGTCCTCTTTTGTATGTGGTTCCTGAACCTTTAATTCTTCCCTGTGCAAAAATTTAAAAGATACAGTGGGCGAAGATGAGGAGAGAACAATAAAAGGAACCAGAAAGAGATTTCTTGGGGTTTGTTGACATGCAAAGTTGCTTTATCTTGAAGCACCTAAGGCCAGTGTTTTATAAGCTTACTTCTTATGACAGCAGTAAACCCACTCCCTATGTATAAATACACATGTAACAGAAATAAGTTTGATGAATCAGTATTTACCTTTCCTATGTGCAGTGTACTCTGACTATTTCCTTTCTTATCTAATTTTTTTAAATGCTGGTCTTCATCCCCTGAATTATTAATACGTTTGAACCCATTGTGTTTCAGTTGGTTGTTTTAAAGACACTACCTTAGGCCAAAGTTTTTAGCAAAAATTGGCACCAGAAATGCTAACCAACCAAGTATGAGGTTATTATTTAATTGATTCATGCCATCATGACCCTGATTTTTATTGCACATCTGTTATGTGCTGGGCATTGTTCCAGGCACGGAGATAGAGCAGTGAGCAGGTCAGCTAAGGCCCCTGCTCTTGTGGAGCTTGGGTTCTAGAGAGGGAGAGACAGTAATCAAAGTAAATAAGCAAGACAGTTCTTACCACCATGGATGCCTTCAAGGTGAAACATGTTGTTAGAGGAGAGACGACAGGTTGGGGGCACAGGTGGAGGCCCACTTAGACGGAGGGGTTAAGGAGGGCCTCTGAGGAGGTGACATTTCAGCTGAGATTCGCATGGCAAGAAAAACCAACCATGCCAATATCAGGAGGAAGAACATTCTAGAAGGAATAAGAGTTTAAAGGCTCTTAGGGTATGGATTGAGTTGTTGTATTATAGGAGTAGCAAGGAGGCTGAGGTGGCTACATCCCAGTGAGTGAGGGGCAAAGGCTAGTAGGTGAAGTCAGAGAGCACTGGGGCCTGGTAGACCCTGGTAGAGAGGGCTTTGAGCAGAGGAGGGATGTGGACAGACTCCACATTGCAGAAGGACTGCTCTGGGTGCTATGTTGAGAATAGTCTATATCAGAGCTGGCCGCTTAGCTCCCTTGGTTAGAGTATGGTGCTGATAACACCAAGGTCCAGGGTTCGATCCTTGTACAATCCAGCTGTCCCCCAGGCAAAAAGAATAGTCTGTATTAGTCATTATCATCTGGGGGCAATTTGTACCCCCACAAGCTCCAGCACACCTGGCAATATCTGGACACACATTTTTGAGTGTCTTACCTGGGTGTGAGGTGCTACTGGCTTCTGGTGGGTGGAGACCAGGGATGCTACTGTCTATCCTGCAATGCATAGAATTGTCGTGATAGGTTTGTGTATGGCAGGAGAAGTAGTGACAGTTCAGTTTATTTATTTATTATTATTATTTTTTAAAAAGATGACCGATAAGGGGATCTCAACCCTTGGCTTGGTGTTGTCAGCACCACGCTCAGCCAGGGAGCTAACCGGCCATCCCTATATAGGATCCGAACCCGTGGCCTTGGTGTTATCAGCACCACACTCTCCCGAGTGAGCCACGGGCCGGCCCGACAGTTCAGTTTAGATTCTGTAAGATTGAGATGACTGTTAGACCCCTAAGTGAAGAGATCAGAGGGCAGCTGGAAACAGGAATGGGATGCTCTGAGGCCAGGTCAGGGTGGGAGCTGTAATTGTGGGAATCTTAATTTTGTACATGGGATTGTGTTGGGCAGTAGTTCTCATGACTTGGGGGTGTGGTGTGGGTTGGATGCTCCTGGCACCTGTGATTGGAGGCCAGAGATGCTGCTAATAAACATCCTACAGTGCACGGGACAGCCCCTCACAACACAGAAGGATCCAGTCCTGGTGGCTTGCAGAGGTTGTGAGTCAGGGCTAGAGCATCATGAAGGAGTGAGGGCCTGGGACGTTCGAGCATGGAGAGGTGGGAAAGAGGAGGAGGAGCAGGTGGCAGAGCCTGGATAGGGACGATGGATAGGGAGTAGTAGCACAGGGCAGTGTCACTCAGGAGGCCCTGGGACAGAGGGTTTCAGGAAGGAAGGGTGGCCGCCCGTGCCTAGTGATGCTCGGGTGTGAATATATAGCTTTTGGTAGTCGGTGCCCTCCAGGTCCATCTTGTCCTGCAGTGCCATTTTTAGATGGAGAAACCGAGGTCTGGGGAAGAGGCTGGAGGTACCAGGATCGCAGAGCCAGAGGCAGCAGGACTAGGGCACAGCCTGTTTCTCCACGGAGCCAGAGCCTCCTTCATTCCAGGTCATTGTTCGTGTAGCCCACATATAATGGGACAGTCAGGGTGGTTGCTTCAGTGGCTCCAATTCAGATTGAATGGTTGGTTCCTCATTTGAACAAAAGGGGACCCATTTGCTGCCTTGGGAACATTCACTTCCCAAAAATGTGGTTTGCTTTCTCGTGCCCTTATCCCACCTCCACACCCTGAAAAAGGAACACTGCAGAGGCGTTCTCATGGTGATGTTTCCTGTCTGCCCATCAAACTGGGCAAGAATAGTTCCTTCCCTAAACCAGGCAGTCACTGGGCATCCTTGTGACACTGTGGATCTTTCCATTTGGCTTGACCCATTGTGGGAGTAAAAGATTTTTTCCTGTCGTGTGTCTGGTGGGCTGACATGGTGGTGGGTGGGCACAGGAGAAGCCAAAGCTCTCCTGTCTCCCCTGGTAGCTCTTCCAGTTCCCAGGACACATTCTTGTCCTCATCAGCAGAAACAAAAGCGTTGGGAATGTGGGCATTTTTATGGGCTGGGATTTCAGTTACCTAACAGGAAGAGGATCAGCTAAGGACTGTTGGAAGTACTGTGGGTGGGTAGAAACATTAGAAAATGGAAAGAAGTGCTAATTAATTTTCCAGTGATTGCCCAGGGACTGAGCAAATGCTTTATGGGGATTGATTTTGTCTGTCGTCCATGTATCTACTTTAGACCGACAGAATGATGCAGAATGCAAGGGATAATGATGAAATTATTGTATCTAACAAAATAGGATATCATTGAAAAGTACACTGGAAAAGGCAAAATTATAGAGATGGAAAATAGATCAGTGATTACTAGGGGTTGGAGTGGAGGATGGTTTGACTACAAATTAGGAAGGGATTCTTTGGGAGATGGAATTTGTTCTACGTTCTGTTTGTGGTGATGGTTACATGAATCTATGCAGGTGTCAAAACTCACAGAACTCTATTCTACAAAATGTGAATTTTATTCTCTGCAAATTAAAACTATTTAAAAAAATACAACAGTCTTTAGGTTATAGCTCCATTTTACAGAAGTGGAAACTGAGGCACAGAACCACAAAGTTACCCACCCAAGATCACACATAGGTTCATGGTAGAGTTTGGCCTATAGGCTCAGGCCTGACTGCTGTGTAGCTGGACCTCTTAGCTGAAACACGTGAACTGAAATGCTACAAGACATGGCCATGTTATGACTTACGTGTCCCTTGGCACGGTGTCCCCGGTGCCTATTGGATATGTCAGCCCAGCTGTAGGGGTCAGGGTGAGGATTCGGAATGGCCAGTAACACGCAGTGCCTCCCTAAAGGAAGTAGGTCTTGCCAGTTGAACCCGTATTCTCAGACTTCAAATTCAAGAAAAGCAGAAATCCAGATTTTTATGTGAACTCTCCTAGTTTTTAAAAGTTGGCAGTCAATTTATTAAAAACAAAAACTACCTGGGCCAAACAGACAATTAGAACCAAAAGTACAAAAACCAGTCCATGGGTTGTCAGGTGGTCACTCGGCTACTCTTAATTAATTGTGGTATATGAGTGTATGTGTGAGAGCACTTCAAACAGTTCCTGGAAAAATGAAATGATAATCTTTTCATTAACTGTTTGAAGACCTCTCACATGTATATGAGCATATGTTACACGAACATATGTATGTGAATGTATGAGTTTGTGGTATATGAGTGTATGTGTGAGAGCACTTCAAACAGTTCCTGGAAAAATGAAATGANCCCCGGTGCCTATTGGATATGTCAGCCCAGCTGTAGGGGTCAGGGTGAGGATTCGGAATGGCCAGTAACACGCAGTGCCTCCCTAAAGGAAGTAGGTCTTGCCAGTTGAACCCTCCCCGGTGCCTATTGGATATGTCAGCCCAGCTGTAGGGGTCAGGGTGAGGATTCGGAATGGGCAGTAACACGCAGTGCCTCCCTAAAGGAAGTAGGTCTTGCCAGTTGAACCTGTGTTCTCAGACTTCAAATTCAAGAAAAGCAGAAATCCAGATTTTTATGTGAACTCTCCTAGTTTTTAAAAGTTGGCAGTCAATTTATTAAAAACAAAAACTACCTGGGCCAAACAGACAATTAGAACCAAAAGTACAAAAACCAGTCCATGGGTTGTCAGGTGGTCACTCGGCTACTCTTAATTAATTGTGGTATATGAGTGTATGTGTGAGAGCACTTCAAACAGTTCCTGGAAAAATGAAATGATAATCTTTTCATTAACTGTTTGAAGACCTCTCACATGTATATGAGCATATGTTACACGAACATATGTATGTGAATGTATGAGTTTGTGGTATATGAGTGTATTTGGTGGATGAGGGGAAGGTTTGTGCGGAGACCTGGTTCTTGCCCTACCTGGTACTCACCGGTCCCCTCATTTGCTGTCTTGGGTCTCTTCTCTCCTCTTTAAAACAGGGAGCTGAGCCTCAGGGGATTGTTCCCTTTTTGACTCGGCATCAATTACAGAAAAGTCACAATAAGAATGAGTTCAGTGAGGCTAGGAGAGAAGAGGAGGGCGTCATTCTTTTCTTCTAGACTCCTGCTTGCTTTCTCTGATAATCCGCCTCCTCTTATCTCACAGAGGGTGTTTACGAACTCAGCAGTTCAGTAGTCCTGTTAGTGACAAAAATGTGCCTTGATGCTCTGTTGAAGATGCCGACAGAGCAACGGCAAGTTGTCAAGCACGGAGCATTTCTGCTTGT